GAAATCTGATTGGCCACCCCATTAACCTCTAAAGCTACAGTGAACATACTGGTATCATCTAACCCACTGGTTCCCAACCTTTTCCCTTCAGGGAGCCCTTTCTACCACTGACACATTTTCATTTTTAGTTTATTTGACCATTTTATGCCACTTCATTTTTTTCAATTCAAATTCTATATTATAACAATTGTGACTCAAAACTGTTCATTTAGGCTGAAAGTTCAGTTTTTGCCATTGGAAACAGCAGATTGTCAAACACTCCACCCGCTGAGGAAACCACACATCATGCCTTACTTCTGAAACAAGTAAGCTGGACCCTGTGGTGATGTTTTGGTTTCTCCCAGAGAGACTGGCAGGCCTGAGGAGTCACAGGTGGATTCAAAATAAAAAAAGGTGGCCTCACAGCCAGAGGGTTGTAGGTTCGAACCCGCCGGCCGGCTGTGTGGGGTTGACTCCGCTCTGACAGCACAACAGTGCCATTTGTTGCAACAATCTGAAACTTGAACATTAAACTTTTTGGACTACAGTGGATGTGTTAGTGACAACAACCAGATGTTTGTGACACTTTGTTTTAATAATTTAATTGGTAATATAAAGCCCTCCAGAAACACCTCCCACTATGACCTCAACATCTGTTCTAACGGAGTGACAAGAGAAGAACAAAGTTTTTGAAGCTCTTAATGTTTTACTAAAAGCATTGATAGACACATTCAGTGTTAAGGATATATTGTCATATGGGCTGAAAAATAAATAAATGGACATACACAAACATTCAGAGTTCCTGTCCTGTGTCAAACACCGTGCAGCCGGGTTGTGCGCCCGCAGGGGAGGACAGGTACTCTGCGAACCTGTTGCGGATGGAGGCAGCCTCTGCGGAACAGTCCTCGCTCTGAAGCCTCTGGACCGGCAGCAGTCCCTCACCAGCCCCGTCCGCGCTGATGTCCTCCGTCAGGTCCCACCGCATGAAGTTGTGCAGAATGCAGGCGGCCCTAACAGCCAGCTCGGCCGCCACCGGTTCAATGCGGATCACCTGCTGGAAGATCCGGAACTCGCTGGCCAGCCTGCTGAAGACGCAGTCCGCAACCCTCCTCGCCTGGGACAGCCGCTGGTTGTACAGCCGCTGCTCTCTGGACAGGCTCGCTCCCGGATACGGCCGCATGAGGTTCCGCAGCAAAGGGAGGGCCTCGTCTCCCACCAGGACGTGAGGCAGGGGGCCCAGATGTTCTGCACCTGGGAGCTGTCGATCCGGCGGGAGGCTGAGTGTTGCGGTCCGCAGGGTTTGTCCAAACACTGAGTTCGACAGGTCTCCATCGCTGCTCCCGCCACACGCCCCCAAGTCCACCAGCCGGAACCGGTACCGGGCATCAACCACTGCCGTAAGCACGATCGAAAAGGAGCCCTTGTAGTTGCGGTACAACGATCCTGAATTTGCGGGGGCCTGGATAACGACGTGTTTGCAGTCCACAGCGCCAACGCAGTTTGGGAAGTTCCTCAACTCCATGTAGTCCTCCGCCATCGCCCTCCAGTCGGCCTCTCCGGGTACCGGCATGAAGTCGTCCTGCAGGCAGTCCCAAATGGCCTGCGACACCTGGCGGACGATGCCGCACACAGTGGACACCCCCACCCGGTAGCTGTGGGCCACGGACCGACAGGACTCCCCGGAGGCGAGATACCTGGAACCAAGGGCGATTCTAGGGTCAGAGCACCCAATGAGCCCCACTGCCACCACCCACCCTTTTTTCACACAAAAACAAAAAATATGTCTATTGAAAAATAACTTCAAAAATCCAGATTTGTTTTCTTTTTTTGGAGACTTTTCCAGAACACCAGCTTTATTGTGACAGTTCACACAGACAAACAAAGACGTGTAAAACATGAACGAATACAGCAAAAGACAAACATTTACCTTTCTTTTATTGTCTAGTTTGATAGTCAGACACAACTGAAAAACAGATATAAATCTAAGAAAACATAATTCATTTAAAAAGCCACTGAGTGTTTTCAGCCACACTGCCGCTACACAGTGACAGACTGACCGCAGACAGATGCTCAGTCTCTGGGAGGGGGAGATGGGTTTCCTGTAGTTGGTCTCCACGGCTCTGATGAGCGGACCGACCCTGAGCAGCAGCCCGTCGAACTGCTCCACACTCAACCGGAAGTGGTTCTGGAAGCGGTCACCGTCCAGCCGCAGCTCGCGGACCAGACGGTGGAACTCCCCCTGCTCGAGCCTCGCCTGGTTCGTCTCGCGGACCCAGCTGCGACGTCTGCGTCTGTCTCTGAGTCTGTGCTGCAGCACGGACACGGCCAGAAGCCGCTTCCGCCGGGGGTCCATTACGTTTGAGTTCGCGGACCGGAAATGGAGAAAAGGGCCCGGGTCAGGGGTTCAGCTTCTTCTTCTCTTCTGTTTAATGGCGGTCCGAACGCTGCCTTTAGGTACCGCCGCCTAGTGGTGGATGTAGTGTACTACTTGTCGTTTCCATTTTATGCTCCTTCCTTCTCCACTCCATTTATCGGACAGCTTCAGATTATTAACCCATTTGTGCCCAAAGACCAGGGGCGTGTCCAGAAGGGGGACCTGAAATCTGATTGGCCACCCCATTGACCTTACCTCTAAAGCTACAGTGAACATACTGGTATCATCTAACCCACTGGTTCCCAACCTTTTTCCTTAAGGGACCCCTTTTCTATCATTTAGTGAACTGACGACCCCTCGCTTAATGACATATTTTATGGGTGTTTCATATTATGTTAAAAACTGTCCAATGAACCCAAACAGTGAACTCAGTAACTGCAGGAAGTTTGTGTAAAATCTGAGATTTGGATGAATTCTGAGCAGATTATTTCCTGTTTAGGGAACTTTTTCTACAATTCTCGGTCTGTATTGTGGATTTTTTTTTAATTTCTTTAACAACCACACAGACTTATTATTTGACAGATTCAGTGTTTTGTCTTTGGTTGTTTTCTAAATCAGGGCGAGGCTGTTGATCCGAGACTGGAGGTGTGAATATACACTCAGAGTTCAGACCTTAAACAATAATCTAAACGGAGAGATATCATCCTACTGTGTATATTAAAAGTTATCTTACCCTTAAAATCAAAAAGACCCCCCCGTGAAGCTTTGGCGACCCCAAGTGGCTGCGAACCAGTGCACTGAAACAATATACATCTTCAAGGTTTCAACCCATAAACCAACAAATGAAGACTCAATCACTTTATGATCTGAAAAACTATTTTATGTTTAATTCAGTCTGATCATCACAATACAAAATATGACACATTTCATACATTCAACACAACGATTAAAATACTGCAGTGTTTAAAATGACTTTGGATCAAAGACTTTGGTGTCGTAATTACAAAAATACATTTCAGTTCAAGCAAAGTTAAAGAAAATAAAATCAAAGCCGATCTTAAAGGAGGAGACACAAATGGGCTCGGACATCCAGCAGCCGGGTTGTAAAGCCCCTCTGACTGCACAACAACAACAACAACAACCGGCTCATTGTGTTTGCTCAGCGCGGCGTTTCTCTGCACGGCCTCGGCTAAATAAAAGACTTCCTTTCAAGCCGAAGTGAAAGGGGGCAAATCTGGAGCACAAAGCGGTTTCTGTTTTCTGTCGGTTCGTCGGAGGAAGAAGAAAGAAATCACATATTCTCACGTCCGTCTGCACGTTTTTTAACGACTACAGAGTAAAAACTGCTGCGTGACGGATCCTGTAAGTCTCTGCAGTATCAGAATATAATTACTTTGTGATATTAAGTCAATATCTTCTTGCGTCACATTGGCAGAAATGGGCTTCCATAGTTTTTTGCATTTACGAACCAACAGGAAACGGTAAAAATATGACTCTGTAATAATGTAATATAACATTTATAGTGTTTATATTAGTGTAAAATCACCTGAATATAAGAATCGTTGTGTTTTTGTTACCTGAGGAAGATACCTTTTCATTTACGTTCCTACGGTAGCCCAGAAGGGACAAACCAAACACAGACTCTACATAGGGGCCCTTTATCGGGTGTTTCGTGGTCACTGTAGTCCCCTCGAGGTTGGAAAGAGAGGCCACTAAATCCTACACACACAATCCCACAATCTTTAAGACATTTAAATAATAACTCTCCGATGGTCTTGGGGAAACAGCGATCAACATTTTCTGACGTTTTTCTGGACCAAACAACGAATTAATTAATATATTAATGGAATAAATGATTGTCAGATTATATAAAAGTAATCGATAGTTGCAGCCCCGCCCTTAAAAGGACCAGTGTGTGAGATTTAGTGGCACCTCGTGGTCAGTCAGTCAGTATTTAACGGGCTGTGAAGTGTGCAGGAGAAACTACGGTGGCTGACAGTGTTCCTATCTACAGCCAGTGTTGGTTTCTTTCCGTTCTGGGCGACTGTAGAAACAACAACGTCTCACTCTAAGGAAACAAAACCAAACGATTCTTATACAATAATGAAAACATACCTTTCAATATTATATCACATTTCTGACGTGATTGCAGAAGCGGTGATTGGGTCGAGGTCGGGCCCCACGCAGCAGTGAAACCACGACACGAAACATATTCTGCTTCCAGCTTCTCAAATGCCGACGAGATAACTAACGATTAATGTAAATTAGCTTGTGTTCTTTACATTCTTTACAACATTAGCTAGCTATATATACACATACCGTAAAACTTCCAATAAAAGCAGGTCCATAATAGACGCAGGTCTCGTTTAAAAGCCTGCTGTGGCTACA